TCTAGAGAAGTGTTTGAGAGCTCCCCCCCTTGGGGTGTGTTTTGAAGCTTGAAGGCTTCTCTATTTATAGGGCTAAGAGGGAGGAACATCATGATGAATTCCAACACCACCATTCCTCTTTTAATACAACTCATAACTCTCACTTCATCTTTTCTATGTTAGTGTGGTTGGAATCAATTTCATCCCATACTTCTTTTGCTGCTCTTGAAGCTTTCTTCACATGGGTTTTCAAAAGTGTTCAATTGTGGCTGCCTTTTGCTTCCAACCCATGTGGTTTTCTTTTGATTGCTGAAAAGAAATGATTCTTCTGAACCAGACTTGGTGTAGGAAGGCCAGAGGTTTCAAAACGTATCCAATGGGGCTCAAATGTGGATATGTCATACTAGACACCCATTGGAACAACGTCTATGAAGAAAGTATTCCCATCGGAGCAGTAGAAGTGTGCGTTTTGGGCCTTGCAAGTTAGCCTTGTAAGTTGGCTGCCGAACAGAGACTGGAATTGACTTCATTTCATTTCATTTCTTTCTTTTTGCTTTACATGCATGCACATGCTTCTCTTTAATAGCTCCAGCACGTACCAACTTGCTCCTTTAGACTTTCATAGCTGGAATGCCTCCCTACTTCACTCATTATGTTGGGTACAAAGTCAGTTATAGCTGGGGTGAGGCACATGGCTAAAAGGAGGCACATGACTAAATGTAATAGCTCCAGCATGTACCAACTTGCTCCTTTAGACTTTCATAGCTGGAATGCCTCCCTACTTCACTCATTATGTTGGGTACAAAGTCAGTTATGGCTAAAAGGAGGCACATGGCTAAAAGCTGGCAGCTGCAAATCCTCCTGAGCAGGGTTCAGTGTTGGACGGGCTAAGGACTCTAGATATGTTCAATTGGGCTGAAATTTTGATATGTTATAGTACACACCCATTGACAACTTTCATGAAGATCTTCACCTCATCCGAGCCCCATAGAATGCTGATCCAAGGCCAAGAAGTTGACCTACGAAACTGGGCTGACAAGGGTTTGTAGCCAAAATTAGTTTGTCTTTAAGCTTTTCTTCCATTCACCCAAATCAGGCCTTAACATGCATGGATTGCATCATTTCCTATTCAAAGCCATCATTGTTACCTAAAGCTCAATGAACTGAAAGATAAACACAAAAATGATTAAAAGCACAAGTTTAACTCAAAAAACATAATCAAATCATAAGCTAGAAGGATACAAAATGATATACAATTATGAACCGATCATATCTGAAAACTCTTGAGGATAAAATTGAGCAAGGTGAAGTAACTTTTGTTTATCAAAAGCTACAAATGAATCATCCGGACTCAAACATGCCAAATAATTAAGCAACTCAGTATTTACCTCATTGAATCTATCATCTAACTCCGTAAGTTGCTCATCAATGACATAAATAAAGAGCTCCACACGATAATGATGACGATTTGTCTTAATTGGAGCGTTACGCCTTGACCTTCCGGGAAGTACAAATGCCTCATCCATGTTAGGAACTTCAATATGATGTTTGTCACAAAATGAAGATACTTCATCAACCAATGCATCAAACTCATTATTCCTCATCCAATGTAGCGTTTCCTTGCATGATTTCACTAAAGCCATCGCATTCACAATTTCTTGATCCTTCTTTTGCAATGCTTGTGACAAATCATTTGTCACTCCCAATATGGCTTTCATCAAGAAAAGGTGAAATACAAACTCAAAAGTAAGCATTTCCCTCATTAATTTATTTGCTTCACCGGCAATATCATTAGGATTATCATCAATAATCATTTGAAGCACATGAATCACGGATGAAAACATAGAAGTGATGCTAATTAAGGTACCATAATGTGAGTTCCATCGTGTGTCACCGGCACGTTTGAGACTTGTTTCTTGATTTAAGCCTCGACCCGTTATAAGACAATCATTTTCAAAAGCTATCACAAGTTCTTCTTGGAGTTGCGCTCTTAGTGCATCACGTCTCTTGTAAGATGCTCCAACATGATTAACAATGCTATTAGCCGTTGTGAAGAAAGAAGCAATGTCAATATTTTTCTTTGCCACGGCAACAAGAGCTAGTTGAAGTTGATGAGCAAAACAATGAACATAATAAGCACATGGTTGTTCTCTCAAAATCTTCGTTTTAAGGCCATTCAACTCACCTCTCATATTGCTCGCTCCATCATAACCTTGTCCTCGTAGCTTGGAAAAGCTCAAACCATTGGAAGAAAGGAATGTGTCAATAGCATCCTTTAGTGAAGTTGAAGTGATATCGGTAACATGTTGGATGCCCACAAACCTTTCAATTACATGTCCTTTGTCATTCACATAACGCAACACCATAGCCATTTGCTCTTTTACCGAAATATCACGTGCTTCATCCACCATTATAGAAAAGAATCTATCATTTAAATCACTCATTATAGCAACAAGTGTTTCAAGGGCACATGAATTGACAAGATCTTTTTGAATGGTAGGAGCTACTAGCTTGAGATTCCCCGGAGCATTTTCAAACACAACGGCCCTAACTTTCTCATCATTGTCTGCAAGGAATTGCAATAGCTCCAAATAATTTCCCCTATTGCTTGAAGTGGCACTTTCATCATGGCCACGAAAAGCAAGACCTTGTCGCAATAAAAACTTAGTGCACTTAATTGATGCAATCAAGCATGTGCGATAAGCCATACGAGCTTGCTCAGAGTGTTTGTTCACGGCCATTTCAATATGTGCATTTTGATTCATCAAATTTGTAGCCTCTTCTCTAGCTTGATTATGAGCACTACCAACCGGTCCAACATATGTCTTCATTCTTTCTCTCCCATTCTTCCAATTCTTAAAGCCTGCTCCAATGAATGCTTCACTACCCACTTGTTCAAAATTGGATTTAAAGAGATAGCAATACAGACAAAATGCAGCATCTTTAAATATACTATACTCCAACCAATCAAATTCATCAAACCATTTAGGAATGAATCGTCTATTAATTCCCGAAATGCTACTTTGTGGGAAATTATGACCTCTAGGTTGACAAGGTCCTTTTTGTAGATATGCCCTTCGGATCTCATCTCTAATATTAGAATCATAATCAATCATTCGAGTTCTTAGTCCAGGGTCTGCCTGAAGATTAGCCAAAACCCCATCTAACTCACTTTGTCTTGAACTTGAAGTTGAACCCAAAGTACCAACATTATTCGAACTACTAACCGAAGATGACTTTCTCTTAAAAAATCGTTCCATAATTCTACACATAAATTAATCAAAATAAAAACTCAATCAATTAAAGAACACACCAAATCTATACCAATTAAGCACAACAAAATTCATAAATTAAACCCATATATGTAAAAATAACCAATTATTCAACAAATCAATACATACATCAACTAATAAATCTATAACCTATAATCAAAGTTCAAACCATCAATTTCATCTAAATAATTACGAATTTGATTTCAATTTAATTAAATATATCATACTTCAACATTAATTTAGGCTTAGGGTTTAGAAATTAGAACTTACTTGAATTGAATTGTAAACTTTCACAAAAATAGTGGCGGCAACGGGAACGGCTGGTGGTGAACGGCAGCTAGCACCCTTGGCGGCGGTCAAGGGAGGAGATGGTGGTAGAGGTCTTGGGGAGATTGGGGTTAGGGAGGAGAAATATGAAAATTTGGAGTTTGGAGGGTTTGTTTTCGGGTCTGTCTGCTGTTAAGAAGTTGCAGCCCGTTTTTTTTCTTTTCTTTTTTAAAGTCCTAGACCAAAACGACGTCGTTTTGGCTAGGTCATTTAAACAAAATTGCATTGCCCAAAACGACGTCGTTTTGCAAGGCAGTTTTTTTTTTAAAAAAAAAACTGAAAAGAACCCCAGCCACCGAAGCTTCTTCTTCTCCATGGGGTCATTTCCATGGCGTCCAAGGGCAAAAACCAGTCCCTAACACTAAACTCCAGATCTGCCACGGGATCGTCTGACCCCATTGACCCCATGGTGGATCCGCCTCTGAAGGGAGCCAAAGCTCAAAAAAAAAAACTACATAAACAAACTTTTGGGTCTAGCAACCCCACTCAAATCTTCCAGTAGATAATCTCCAAACCCTTCAGGCACACCCTCCCAAAAATTACACCCCAAATCTAGGTTTGAGCTTAGAGCTGCCAATTTATCCGCAAGGCAATTTCCTTCTCCATATTTATGAGAAATACTGCCAATTTATCAGCTAATGAGGTGCTTTCATTTTTTGATTATGCATGAATCAATTTCGAAGGGCTAAAAGTCACTTTTGGTCCCTGTAGTTTGGCACTTCAACCACTTTTGACCCTGTAGTTTCAATTCCGCCAATTTTGACCCTGTAGTTTCGTATTTGTAGCAATTCAAGGACAAGTTAGTATTCCTGTCAATTTCTTTGACAGTGCAAGGGGCAATTTCATCAACCCAAAATCCTTGAGCATAAAAACTCGTCTGAAACTCCCATAATTTCATATTAGGGCTTGAAATTGGTCATATGGGTTTAGGGTTCTTCAAAAATTGGGATTAGTGGTTGAATTTGGAGTTTCAGACAAGCTTTTACTCTCAGGGGTTTAGGGATGACGAAATTGCCCCTTATATCGTTAAAGAAATTGACAAGAATACTAACATGTCCTTGAATTGCTACAAATACGAAACTACAATGGCAAAATTGACAAAATTGAAATTACAGGGTCAAAAGTGGTTGAAGTACCAAACTACAGGGACCAAAAGTGACTTTTGGCCATTTCGAAGAGATGCTGGATTGCGGGAATCATTTTCTGATTATGTGGGAATCAGTACCAACAACATTTTTAACAAAAAGTTTACCAAACGTCAAACTGCTTTATCTCATAGTTGATTTCTCTCACAGCAAATCTAACAACGATTATTTTCAGCATAGCAATGCCAAACTGTTTTTCTTTCGTATAGCTTCTCCTCTCTTTTTGACTAAAAGAAAATTATTCATTAGATTAGGATCTCATTACGGAAAACATATAAATCTATACAGAGAAAAAACCATCACTGAAAATGGTTACAAAAACGTAAATAATGTCATCTCCTGTGAAGAACTCATTCACACTCAGCCTCATCCTCTACACAAAGTGCAAGAACCCACAAAATCTAACAAGTGGTGTGTATCAAAATTAATGTCTGTGTTTACAATAACCACCGGTTGCAGGTTTGTATATTTCGCTGGAAAAATGAAGCATCCGGCAGTAAGCATGGCTTTGCCGGCTTTCATAGTGTTATGACTTAGGCTCTGCGGTATCAGTTTAAGGCCGCCACATGGTTTTCTGTGCGCATAATATGCCCTCCTTTCCCTGAGCATAAGTCATCCGGATCTCCCAATGCAAACTCTTCAATATGCCCTCCAAGGGTTCCAGTATCTCAACTTTCTCACGTATAATTGTCCAGCCTCCAGGCCGTAACAAGCGATCCATCTCAACAACAATCGATACCGGCTGCTTACACCTACAGATAGTAGTATTCAAGATGTAAAGGATATAGGCCTAACTGAAAAACTAGCTGCAGCTATCTTCCAAATTCAACTTGTTGGTTGTTATGACGGAATGTATTAGTTGCATAAGCAAGATGAAAGAACTCTAAGTGGAGAAGTCGACTCTCACCGGTTCTTAAGCCGTGAAAACAGATGATCGACATGCAAAAGGTCGTATGATCGGGGATAAGTACCAAAAGACTCACACCAGTCATGGTAGGTGCCAACAAGCCCGCGTTCAAATATGAAAGGAAGTGTATCAGGTGTATGGACAGGGACCACATTCATCACCCACACCTTTTGTTGCGAGAGGGCTGCAGCAAATCTGCATACAGAACATTACAATTTTATTCAATGACCAAGTTTGATGTACTTTTTATGGAAACGAGAGGAAAAGACACCGTTTAGTTGTTTTTCTTTACATACCCTCCATAGATGGCTTTCATGTCCATCACATTTCGAATATTTGACCAGTCAATACCCAGTCCAGTGAGATAGGATTTTTCAACAATGGCTTTCCAGTGCTTGGTGTCTGCAACCAACTTATCTTTATCACTCAACCAGTCGGGATACCTTTCAAGCCTCTTGGGCCATTCCTCTGGCCACTCTGTCCCGTGCTGTTCAATAGCAGATGGAATGGCGTGCAAGCAAGTCTTCACAGGAACATACCTGTTAAGGAGCACATAAGGTTAAGTGTGCCTTCTATATACAACAATTGCTTTCCAAATCAAATAAATTGAAAAGTAGTCTTCCATGCAAAAACAATGAACGTATTAATTCCATATACCAAATTAACGAACCCAAAGTGAATACGGACATAATGTTAAAAACCACGAAAATGAATATTGTAAAGCAAGTTCGTTTAAGCTTACCATGCAGCATCTGGGTTGTCATTTTCCTTGCATAAAGGTGGATATTTCTTCCTCCTCAACTCATATATATCATTTGAGTCCGGTTTCTGGTATATTTTGACACCCACATCACTGACTTCGTCAGTTTTATGTGCCAAAATATTCCAACAGATAGATGCTGCCAATTTACTCATGACTGGAAAATTTAAAAAAATGCTGCATGTTATTCAATATCAAAGAGCCTAAGAAACCTTGTTAGACAGCAAGTGTAAATACTAGTCTCGGGTTAACTTCATATGAACGACACTAGAAAAGTGTAAACAAATTAATAGAGGATCTGAGTCTATAAAGGCTTCAAAGCTATCTTACAATACAATGCATAGATCTGCACATAACTTCAGAGTAACTAGAGACAGGTGTTCCAGTCAATCCGTACAAGTGGACCATAACCTTGGAATAAAACAAGTTGCAGTTCCATAGAAATGAAACTTTCAATTTTTCAGCACAGGTGCATTCAGGGTAAAAATATATGAATACCGGCAAGCAAACAGATCTAGATGCACTAACTAAGGAAATCACTCCTCGCAAGAATAGTATAAACAGTAAGATTTTCCAAGCAAACAGTCTACCGTTCCAGCTTTCAAGCATATCAAAAAAGTAAATAAATAGTAGCATAGGGCAAACCTTCTTCATCCTCAAAGCTGTCATGTTTAGTTGACAAGACAAAGTATCCACCAGGCCTTAAAATCCTATTCATTTCTAGAAGATGCTTACCCCCTGCAAATGAAAGAATACCACACGAATGTAACTTGAAGTAGGATTCGAAAATTTAAGAAAAGATTTAAACAAAAATTGAAAGGCAGGGACAAAAAAAGGGGTAAACTCAAACCATTTGAATGCCAAGGTATGGTGCACCCTCCACAGTGAATAGCATCAAAAACACCACTAGGAAAAGGTAGCCTTCTATTTCCAAAAGGGCTAACTAAAGCAGGAAAACCACGCTCAATGGCAACTTGAGCTAGGTCAACTAGGTCATCTTTCAAGCCCAATGCCAATGATAAGACATCCTTATCAAGGAGAGAAGCCCCAAAGGCAGAATCTGTACAACCAATATCCAGCACTACACGGATATTCTTTCCCCATTCGATGTCTGGTACCATCTATCAAATGAAATGAAATTCAAACTGCTATTTATGGTAGGACTGACAGCATTAAATTACTATTAGGAGATAAAAAGCATATATATGCACATCAGTATATGTGTATGGTGGAGTTTAACTTCTATCTATAAATAGCCGCTGCGTTCAAAAATTCCCATCTCTCACAATACTAGGATGCAAGAAAATTGTAGACAGAAAGCAATTAGACTCCTTATTCTAGAAATATAAGATTTTCAAAGGTGCTATTTCATATATAAAAACAGATGTCTGTAAGAGAAATTGTCTATCTACCTAAACAATCCTGTCCAATTTATATCATTTTATTTCAGGTTGGAATAAAAGAAGCATCATAAAGATAGCACAACTCAAATTCACGACAACGAAGAAAGTTCACCTCTTCAATGGACTCAAGATAGTGAAGAATTCCACCCCTTAATTCAGACTGGTTTTGAGGAAAAGTAAGATATTCTCCAGACTCCATCACCCAACTATGTTCCTTGATGAATGCAGCAAGTTTTGGATGTTGCACATTCTTATACAATATCTGCAAAACATGAGAAGTTACAAAAAGAAAATATCAGAAAATATTTTTAACTCTCAATGCACTACAATAGAACAAGAGAAAAACATATCGAAACCCCAAGCATATACCTGTACTTTGCTATCAGGCCAGGGGACTGGACGACCATAACCATCACGGGGAAGAGGTACAAGACACATTGGTTCTG